ATGAATGCTGCAATTTTTAATTCAGCCCTATTCCTACTTTCCTCTATTTTGGGCTTTAAAAATTTATCCAAAACAGCATTGCTATCAAATGTTCTCTTTTTGCCAACATTTCTAATGCGCTTTTGTTGCAGCATGTTCGTCTAAGCCTTTGCAGTACGCAACAATTTCTGCTTTGCAATATACGCACAAAGCTTTGGAGTTGCTACCTGGCGATGGTTTCAACCAATTTAAAATGAAACAAAATTACATGCATATATAAGTAAACACCGGCCAAGCGCCCCCCTCCCTTCGCCCCCTCTCGACCACGATACCGGACACCGCACCTCTCTCATCACCCCTCTCGGCCACCCACAAACTAGGCCCCATTGCCTTCACCCCTCTCGGCCACGCAACGACACCAAACATTCAAGTGGCTACAGTAATGCAGCCGCTAAGTTATGGGACCAGCAGCGATGCAGCAGCAGAGACAACGTCAGCGTCGCAGTGACAGCGGCGTCAGAACGACAGCGACGGCGGCGTCAGAGCGACAGCACAGCGACAGAACGTCAGCGGGAGAAATGCAACGGCAGCAGCGCGACAGTGGAAGAGCGCTGACCGCCCGCTAGCTGCCTCAGCTACAGCCGCCGCTATCCCTATCCATGCGCCAGAACGGAAATGCAGCGTTAGCATATGGGGCTTAACACACATACTCAAAACCGCTGCCATCGGCGTCGGGTTTCCGCAGCCGCTCTGCCAGCATTATGCTGACGGGCAGTACTGTTTAAGCCAACCAGCGACTCCAAGAACGATTTTAGAATTAATTCAATTTGTACCCCCGACTAGAGAAGACTACTTATCTTAAGCAATAAAACCATTGTAACGTATTGATGCTGTTTTATTTTAAAGTAAGTTCGTAAAGGTTAAATTCAAAGTCTTAGAAGGAACAGACGAAGAAGCTAAAAGACGGAAGGAACCACAATGCAGCTAAACCTAACTAGGTAATATCGGGGAGTATACTCCCCCCTCTGAAGGAACAGACGAAGAAGCTAAAAGACGGAAGGAACCACAATGCAGCTAAACCTAACTAGGTAATATCGGGGAGTATACTCCCCCCTCTGACCATTCAGCTTGTGCATTGCATATTTAATGCTTAAAACTGTTTTCCCATGTATTGGCTATCGGATGCGCCAACCGTGTTGCCCTGGCCAAGTCGGATTTCCAGCGCGCAAACGCCCTTGCGCTCGGTCGTTCGACCATTGGGGCTATGCCAAACGCCGTGATAGAATGTCCCAGAAATGTTGGCCAGGTTAATGCGTAGTTTGGCTTGCCGCAGGCGATCAAAGTTAATTTTGAGGTGCTGAAGGTCCTGAGTTTTACTTGCCGAAGACAAACACATGTCGTCAATATACACAGCCACGAAGTCGAGATTACCGAGGATGTTGTTCATGTGGTGGTGAAACGTTTGCGATGCATTCCGGAGACAAAATGTCATCACATTAAAGTCGAAGAGCCCATACGGTGTGAAGATTGCAGTTTTCACAGACCAGACTGATAATGGAGAATACGGATTTGCCGACGAATACCTGGTTGATGTCGTGGACATGTGGTAGCGGATTCCGGTCGGAAATGGCGATCGCGTTCAACCGACGATAGTCACCACCCATTTATTTTCTTCACCATATGTAAAGGCGATGCCCAGCTGCTGCTGCTCGGTTGTCATACCCCCTTTTCCAGCATCCGTGCAAACTCGTCCTTGACGGTAGCCAGAGCCTCAGTGTTTAGACTGCAAACTATTCCGAATACCGGCAAGCTATCCGTTGCGATGTGGTGCTGCACTCAGGTGTTATGTACGAGTTCGTCATCGGAAACAGAAGGCAGAGTCAGGACTTTATATTGCGAAATGATGTCATGGTACTCATATTCGGTAGCTACAGTCGAGATGGGTCAGTACTGGACATGGATTGGACAGATTGTAGGCAGTGAGGTGGCTCCATCGATGATTTTGCGTCGCTTCATGTCGATGATGACACCGTAGGGAGAGATGAAACCGGTATCGATGAGAGCTTTGGACACTATTAACGTCCAGTTGAATCGACTTCAGAGTTCAAGTGTGAGTGTAACGGCTCTCCCTTCGTTGTGTGTCTATCAGATATACGGTGTTTGTGTTTACTGTTAAAAGAGGGCTGGACTGGATCGAGTCCACTTCGCATGCTGCCTCGTCCGAAGTGGAGGTTAGTTTCCCGCCGGCCACTTGCAAGGCGATCTGCACCTATACGCGTTCTCACCGAACCGATTCTGGTAGAAACAGAAGCGATCGTCATGGGTCTTGGAACGACTCCGGCTATTCCTGCGGGGGTCGGATCTATTGCTGTTACCTTCCGAGCTCGGTCACCATCGTCCTCAACTCCGCCACTTGCTGCTCCAGAGATCCGTGCTGTGACGACGTGTCATGGGTCGCCATCGGGGCGGACGCGGCGATTGCGTTGACCGTCCTTAGCCCCTACTTCCCTGTTCGGAGGGGGATTTCGCAAGATGTATAAGTTAACTAAGTTAACCGGGCGACGGCGATGACCGATCGTCCGAGAGTTCGCTCCGCCCAAACTGCTGACACAGCGGCTGGCCGGATGCCCATGCATAGCCGGCAAACACAGCATATTTGCGTGGACGCTATGAAGTTCAATTTTTTTAGCTTTAAGCCAGTACGATTCGGAGCTTTGCTTAATAAATAACTCATAAACATCAATACTCCGGCTCCGCCGTAATCATTCCATTTTATTATCATAAAAAAAATATAAAAAAATACAGCACACAATTTTTCTATCGAGTAAAAGTTTTACTATCTGATGTTGGCGGATTCTGAGAACCCGCCTTTAAGTTATAATTGTGTTTTGTTGCTTGCAACGCACTTGTTATTAAGTGCATTTACGTTTTACCAGTGTTTCCAAAAATATAAAAAGGAACGCGAGACCGAAGCAAGTTTTAAAGGTGAGGTAAATTTTATATGGAACAACAGTTTTAAGCATTACAAATAAATGCACAAGCTTAATGTACATTTATATACATGTACTTTTGTTTTATTGTAAATTGGTTGAAACCATTGCCTCTAAACTCTCAAGGTTTGAAGAATATCAAACTACACCGCAAAAAATGTACAGGTATATTGCTTTTTAGATGAGTGGGACTCTCTAAAACTTCATTTTGAAATGACTCGTACTTCCGAACAAGGTGACTCTGTGTATAAGGCTGACTCATTGTTCCAAATGTACAACGTGGAGAACAAGTTTTACTTGATTTTTCATCAATACTCATTAAAGAAGATAATATCTGGAAAAAAAGTATTCCAATCCGACACAGTGGAACCTTTAAAACTCTTGAAGAATCTAAATGACTTATTATTCTCATATTTGCATAAAAAATTGTTGTGCCACAACAATTGACAAGGCAAACGCACAAGATGTATATGACCTTCCGTTTAAAAACTTCCTGATGCCAGTGGGTTGCATACATTTTGGATATCATTTTAATGAGTTGTCTTCGACTTGTTTGCCGGACCACTTGATATACATCAAAAAACGATGCAAGGACTGCTTGGTTAAGCTCACGGAAGAGTTGCAAGCACAAGCACGAGTTCCCAAGAACACAAAATGCTTCCAAAAAATATGTGTTTTTGCACCGAAAGTAGTCAATCAAGTCAATATAAAGAAGACATTTCTGAACTGGCTGAGTCTTACAGTACAATTTGTTGCATCGCGTGGAAACAAAATCAACGTCTTCAGGAAGTGTACAACACAAATTTCTCAAATGAAGTTCTCGAGATGATCTCTTAAAATTCAATCTCATTTTGTAGTATATGGGCATTTCCAGGGGTCGCGAACGTACGTTTGTTTGTTTGTTCACAAGGAAAAATCTACATCGCGAACGTACGGGTCGCGAACGTACGATTTTTCCATGTTGTTTTATTAACAATTCATTGAACATTTTTTCGACCTCTTTGGATTTTTATCTTATTAAATTGCAATAAAGACATTTGGTAGAAAAGGTGCACACAAATTATATGTTTTCCTTGCGAAATAATAAAACATTAAAATGCCTTTTAAAGGAGCTTAAAATTAAAAAGAGTACATTTTTTCAGTTTTTAGGGAAATTCCTTCAACAAAACAAATAAAATATGCTATGATCCCACTGTATTATGAAAATATGACCATTTATTTATGAAAATACGCAAAAAGTACGATGATTACCATTTGGCGGATATGCCCATATATGTAAATTATGTTTCTCACTAGTGAATTGATTAAAAAAATTTATTTTTATTTTTAACAATCACTTATTCACTATTACAATTTTACAATAGGTCGAACTTATTTAATTCACTGCTCTTGTATTATTTCTCGAATTGTTGTACTGCTCGATTCGGATCTCAAAAACGGACTTCCTGCTCTCTAGTCCAATGATCAATAATCAAACCTCGGCTTAAGAGACTTTATCCCCAAAAATTGATAAAGAGAATGACTCAAGAGAGTCGGAAAATAGGATGATGCAATTTGCCAATTAAATTCGAAGTCCAATCTTGGCCGGAAATTGGTGTTTACATTAGCGGAGTTTAGGGACCGCTTTGGGGATCTTTTTGTTTACGTTAGCGGACTCGGGACTCGCTTTGGGGATCTTTTGTTTACGTTAGCGGACTCAGGGCTCGCTTGGGACTCCGATTGTTTACAATATCGGTTTGGATGTTTACAGCATCCGTTTGATTCGGACTGCGTGAAATTGATCTGGGTGGGAATGATTTGGAGGCCTGCTTGGCAGAAATAGCTGACCACGGATTTATCTCGGGTCTGTCAGAGTTATTTGGAAATTAGCTCTCGGCTCAAAGTTGTTTATAAATTGGGTAAGAGCCCCTAAATAATGTGTCATATAACTTGTATATAGTATATACACATATTTCTAAATATAAAAAAAAATTTAAAATAACAATTTACTATACACAGATTTTTCCAAGCTTAACATTTCTACAACGTCATAATGAGATATTTCTTATTTTATTGTACATTTTCGAAATTACCTGATTTTTTTTTAAATTAGGTATAAACTGGATCGACTGTTTGCGATTTTTTAGGGGAAAGCTAAATTTTCACCTGGCAACACTGTCTCGAAGTATTCTGCCGCAGTATGTTATGCGGATATGTGTTGCTACGGTAATGCGGAGGCTCGCGAATTCCGACAGGTACAGCAGCAGGGTGAAGAAAACGTGGGCTTTCAAGTGCGGAGGAGCTCTTCGGGGACATTGGCTTTGCTGCAGATGGATGACCGCGAATTCCGGTTCCAAGTACCAGACGTGGATTAGGTTGCCAAGTCAGCAAGGCTTTGTGCTATGAAATCCGGGATAGTTTTTGGAAATAATGAAGCTGATGAACAAGGTGTTACGGCCTGCTGGTCAGCGTCCTCAACTTCCACAAGGAAACTTACCGGATCGGCATTAGCAGCGGACGGAGACGACAGCTTCGCGGTATCCATGTCAGGATCCTCGAGGTACAGACCCCAAGTGTCTTCGGTCGGCAACTACCGGCGACCACAGGCTGCCACCACCAAAGGAGCCACCGAAGCCCCCTTGAAGAGCAGAAGTTTCCTTCGACGGCGAGGATGACCCCAACTCTGTGGAAAAATTCGTGTACCGGGTAGAATTTCTGCAGTACATTCAGAAAACGACAAGCTAGTAGACGAGAAGTGGTTGCCACTGTGAAGCTCAGTGCAACGGAAGTCCCTCGACCATTCGCGGAAGTCTGAGCCCTGACCCAAACGCTGGCGGGACTTTTGGATACGGCAGCGAGTGTCAGTCTATTGAAAAGAGAGTTAATGGAGGCGTAGGATGTGCCCACCCAGAAATACCTTTCCGTGGTCCGAATAGCGTCTGGAGATAATTGGTTGATCATAGGACGCGTCGAGTTGCCTGTGGAATACCGGGGACAGACAAAGCGGCTCCTTACTAGGGCCCTGCATAAGTAACTTGACTTGCGTTATTTGAATGTTCAGATTCTTCAATCTGCATTCGACTCTAAAAAGATCATACTTTAAAACTATAGCAGATAGGGAAACAATCTTTTTGTCTACAGTCTTGTGGTTGAAAAGTTGGTGAATGTAGAAATCTTTGGCCTTATCGGACATGTAATCCCAGCATTCTGTTAGGATTTTTTGACGCTTATGCAATATTCCTTGTGGTACACCTGAAGTTGTTCGGATTAGGAATAAGAAAGAGTTTTTAGAATTGACTCTTTGTGTCCTTGCATTAAAATAACTTTAAAGGATCACACAATTGAACATGTAACATTTGACAGTTTGGGAAGAGTGATTGATAAAACTAATCATTAGGGAGTATTTGTGAGTTTGGAAGTGTAACAAAGTTAAGAAAAAGCCTGCTGATCGCCCATTATACAAGATGTGTCTTTTTGTATGAAATGAAAACTACAACAGATTTTTGGGTATTAGTTTTTTATTCTTCGAGCTCCTGCAGAAAACTGTCGCTCTACACTGCCTCCAGAAATTAAATTTTTTTTTTCTTACAAAAAATCTCTTTTTTTTAATTTTAATATATATGATGGACGTTTATGCACTACGAGCAGTACAAACAAGTGGCCCAATGGATAATAAGGGAGGATAATAATTTCGTGTTAGTCTAACAGGAACATTGAAAGTTAGGCGGCTTACATTTTCTACAGAATCAATATCACCTCTAATAAGATTTTGCATAAAAATAGTACCAAGCATTGTTCTACGATTTACAAGTGTAGGTAAATTAAGCAATAGTAATCTACTCTGGTAGATTAGATATTTAAAAATGTTTAGAAACACGAGTTAAGTAAATTTTTTTTTTTATACAATTTTTTTTTACATTGTCACCTTAAAAAAATTATACAAAATATAAGCAAAATGATTTTTGAAAAAAAAACTTTTTGCAGTTACTATTATTTTTGTTTGAAGAACTTTCTGCATCAAAAAATTCAGGTTTTCAAGTCGAGGAAAAAAGTTTAAAAAGTAGATTTTAAAGTAGATTCGCACAAATTCGTCCTTTTCAATAAACACTGAATGGGTTAAGAAATGTATTGTATCATTAAAACGGCATTTAAATTACCTTTCCATTGATGCCAAAAGTTTACAAGAAGTAAGTTCAAATTAGGAGTATATTGAACTTTTGTTTTGTCAAAATACCTTTGCCGACCAGAGTATATAAAAGATTTATTCTCTCGTGCTCTCTTACATTTGATTTAATACGCGATCTCGCGCTCTTATTTTAAGTTTTCAAGTCGAGGAAAAAAGTTTAAAAAGTAGATGTTTACAGAAATTTCAATAAGTACTGAATGGGTTAAGAAATGTATTGTATCATTCAAACGGCATTTAAATTACTTTTCCATTGAGAAAAGAAGGAACTTTAAATTATGAGTATATTTAACTTTTTTTTTGACAAAATGTTTATGCCGACCAGTGTACTGTGCGGGACGCACGAAAAGTCTACCAGAAGTTCTGCAGGTTCAGAGACAGTGTAAACTACAGTTATAATATAGAGCGGGAGAGAGGGAGGGAATAAAATATTTAATTAAGCGTGCACTTATTCACTACTACAATTTTACAGGTCGAAGTTATTTTTTTTCACTGCCCTTTACTTTACACTCGTTTCATCTGCTCAATTCGTTTCTCAAAAACGGACTGCCCTACCTCGAGTTCAATAATCAATAATCTAACCTCGGCTTAGAGATTTATATAAAAATTGTTTATCTCAAAATTGATAAAGAGAGTGACTCAAGAGTCGTAAAAATAGGAGATGCAATTTGGCAATTAAATTTGAAATTAAAATTCGGACGGAAATTGGTGTTTACGTTATCGGACTTTAGGGCTCTCTCTGGGGTCTTGTGTTTACGTTAGCGGACTTCATGGCTTGCTTTGGGACTCTGATGTTTACAATATCGGCTTGGATGTTTACAGTACCCGTTTGGTGCGGAATCTGTGAAACTGATTTGGGTAAGAATAATTTGGAGACGAAGTTGAGAGAAATAGCTGACCACGAGTTATTTGGAGATTGGCTCTCGGCTAAGAGTAAATTTATAAATTGGGTAAGTGCCCCTAAATAATGTGTCATATAACTGCCCCATTCTAAATTGAATCGTCCAGATTCATTGGAACTGATTGATATATTAAATGTAATTGGTCAATTAATTCCACAATGATTATTTCTTCTAGGGTATTTTCATTGTCAGGAATACTTTTTTCATTGTCGGAAATATTACTTTTTGGTAGAATTTCTATATGGTTTTGCCGGGGTTTGATTTTTCTGTATTTGATAATAATCAATCAATACATTTTTTTAGAATCTACTTTGATTACATTGTTAGCAACAACGTAACCGAGAAAGTTCGTTTCTAAATTAAAGAACTTTGATTTTTCAATCTACATTTTTTTTGGTGGCGTTCAGCAAAATTTTGATTACGACAATTAAATCTTTGAAATGTGTTTGTGCCTAACCGAAGTAGACACTTCTGGGTCACACCGCGGGACAAGGGGGTAATGAGCACTTGTCGCTGGCACGGGGACGCTTTGATGGCAGGACGATCGCGTTGCGGCAATGGTAACGATGGTTAGTGCGGTGCCGGACCACAGGCTATGCTGGAGCTGCGCTGAGGGTGAGCTAACGTGGTTAGCTGCTAGTTGAGATAGTGTATTACGAGCCCTATTCCCAGATGTAGGAAGTAGAACTGCGTAGTTATGAGGTGTGTTGATAACTGATTTATTCTTCATTTGATACATGCTTATATACTACTTGGAACACGGAAGCTTAGTGTAATGATTAGTGAAATAAGCTATATACTAAAGTAGGTCAGGGAATTATGATTATGGTGCAGTTGCTGACTGCATTGGCGCGTCAGTGTGCCGTTGAGTCGGTGAGACGGTGAGTTAGTGAGACAAATAATATGATGATCAGCAATTCTTATATGCAGTGGGTGCTACTGAGCGCCTGGTACTGACACTGCAACATGTGCTGACTGCATTGGCGGGTCAGCGTGCCGTTGAGTCGGTGAGACGGTGAGTTAGTGAGACATATAATATGCTGATCGGCAATTATCATATGCATTTTAACTGAAACGTATTGTGCTCATCAATACCTATCGATTGATCCAAAAAAAAGTTTGCCACGCCCACTCTAGCACCCACAAACCGCCCATGCCTGTGGCGCCCACAAGTTTCGTGCTAGATACAAAGTTTTAACTGAAATGTATTGGTCTCGTCAATACCTATCGATTGATCCAACAAAAAATTTGCCACGCCCACTCTAACGCCCACAACGCTTAAGTCTGTCTACCGCCGGTAGGGGGCGCATTTCAATCTCGCTTAGCTGAGTAACGGGTATCTGATAGTCGAGGTACTCGACTATAGCGTTCTTTCTTGTTTTGATATTTGTTATTGCCTTGACTATAACCGTTATTGGCCCTGTTTGTGGGAAAGACGACAAATATGCCACCCTTATATTTATAATTAATAACGCTCTTGAAGTAGGGACAAATACTCGCTGCTCCACGTTTTCCAGAAATGTTGCTGCATCCGGGTCACCCGCTGCCATTTGCTGAGGCGGCCTTCGCGAAGATGAATAATGTCAGGCTCAGGAAACTTAGTGTAGGTTGAACCTTTCAGGAAATGCGCCGGTGTAAGCACCTCAAGGCTTTCAGCATTTTCTGAAATTGGACAGAGTGGACAGGAGTTAAGGATGACAGAAATCTCATCTAAGATGGATGCACCGACGACTCTGTAGAAGTGAAATTTAGCTGACTTCACAGAAGCCTCAGAAGCACGCGGAGGGATGAACTTCCAATCGATCCCATCAGCTAAACAGGCGGAAGATACCGATGCTGTGTGCTGCTCGCTCAAAAAGAGCTCTTTCAGCTCGGCAACCTCGCTGTTTCACCGACAAAGTTTGTAGCATTGTCGCTCCAAATGGTACGCGGACTGCCTCTGGAACACTTCCAAATGAGCAGCCTTCGTGAAAAAGCAGACAAAGACGGCGATATAGCACCTGTGGGGTGCCTTATTTCTGGCCTGTGCCTTATGATAGAATGGCCCACAATAGTTCACTCCTGTGGTATGAAAAGCTGGATTGGGCTGCACTCTATTTGCTGGAAGGCTACCCATGACGTGCTCCCAAGTAACAGGCTTCACTCGGAAACATCGGACGCATTTGTTGTTAACGCTGGCGATAAACTTGCGGCCCCCAATCGGCTACTACCTTTGCCGTAATGCGGCAAGCAGCGCCTGCGATCCTCCCTGCACATATTTCTCATGATAATAAACGATTATCGCCTTGGTGACTGGATGATCCTTGGGCAACAGTATCGGATGCCTCGTATCGTAGTCCAAGTTTGCGTTCTGAAGCCTTTCACCCACGCGAAGTAACCCACGGGAGCCGAGTATAGGCCTAAGCGAAACCAGCTTGCTTTTCTGTGTAAACGGCTTGCCCTGGCTAAGAGATCCATACTCCTTCGCCAAGTTAGCCTGTTGGATGCTCCTCAAAAGAAGTACAGTTCCAGAGTTTATCTCCTCCACCGAAAGACGACCTTTTAACGGCGCAGATTTGGCTCTGCAATTTGAAATAAACCGATAAATGTATGCAAATACATGCTGCAACTTATCGAAAGAGTTGAGGAATTTGCAGTTTGATGAACTGTCTATGCAAACGGCCCCAATTAGAGCCACAGAACGGCGCTCTGGAAGATCCTTTCCTGAGTCTAGCAGGGACGGCCAATTCGAGGATCTTTGCAGAAGGAATGGAGGCCCGTTAGCCCAAAGGGAAAATTCCAACAATTCTCTTGGGGTACATCATCGCGATACGACGTTTGCCGGATTCAAGTTTGTAGGAAAGTAACGCCAAGTCATGTCTCTCGTCATCTCCTGAATTTCGATTCTGTTTGATACGAAAACGTTAAACTCCCTTGGAGGTTGCCGAATCCACGCCAACACAAT